AGCCACAGAGCAGTGCCACAGATGTGGACAGCAGGAAGTCACTGGCTGCCTTCTTTTAGTTGTTCTCTGTGCAGGTATAGCTAGGCCATCTAGCTTCCAAGACCAAGGACATGTCATATGTTTTTCTCTTTATGTGTATTCAGGGCGACAGCTTGCATATCACTCCATAAATAAAATATTCACATAAGACTTAGCAATAGTAAAATCTATAGGGTTATAATCTATCTATCCATCTGTCTATCTATCTATCTATCTATCTATCTATCTATCTATCTATCTATCTATCTAATAACACTTGAATTTTGGATATATCCTACAATTTCTCCCGCCGATTTTATAATTCTCCTTTGTTTTTCTATCTTTGTAATAATTGTCCATATTATTATATAGTTCATAGGCCATGACAGGTATTATTATCAGTACATCACATGCATGAATTATTTCATCTCCAAAATAGCCCAAGAAGTAGATGCTAATATTCTCCCCATTTTGCAGAGGAAAAATGAGGCTGAGAGAGATTACCTGCCCCACAATTGCACGAGTGGTAAAGCTGAGCTTCAATCCCACCACCTGGTTATTTTTCTTCATTGTTTCAAACCCTTTGAGTTCTCATCTTTAGTGAATGTTTAAGAACATTCTGAGAAAATATATAGAGAGAAACAATAAATGCTGTCGGGTAGCTGAAAATGCTTCTCTCAGAGAAGTGGGCTCCAGTTACAGCTCTGTAGTCAGCAGCTTCTGCAGAGCTGGCCTCACGCACTGTCCTAAACTTCCCCCAAGATGTCCTCCTGACATGGAATCATTTTATATAGCTCTGAATTAAACATACAAACAGGAACGGCCAGAGTTGGAGAGGAAGACAGGACGATCAGGGAGAAGAATCAGCCTGAGAAGGAATACACTGAATGGTCTCATCATCATGCCGCTCAAAATGAGAGTAATATCGGAGACTCCTGTTAAGGCACACAGTTTTAAAATACTCCTCAGAGGCTCACAAAGCGAATAGGACATCTGCCAGACCTCCTGGCTCTCCCGTGCCCAGCAGAGACAGACTCCTCTCTGGTTTGCCCACAGGGCCCTGGGTATCCCATACCCTTAGTACCAGAACTCAGCCCTCCCGCCTTGTACGGTCTATTGTCATGAAGCCAACTGGTCTTGGCATTTGTGTCCACAAGATTCTAGAGCTTCCTATCCCGTTGCTAGGGCACTGCGGTCCTCCCCGTCCCATTTCAGTTGCAGGAAAGAGTGTGTCGGCAGTGAGATATCTGGCTGCCCAATCCTGGCCTCTCCTCTCTTATGACTGCTCACCAGCCACCAGAAGCATTTCCATGGTCTTCATTTTCTTGTTCTGAAATTCAAACAGGAAGTCTAGAACAAAAATGACAGGATTCTCTTTGAAAGTGGAGGCCAGAGAAGAGTGCTAACTTTGCCTTGGAGAACCTTCATCTTGAACATGAGAAACCTGCTCAGGCGCATATTTGGATCAGTGAAGAATTGTATCAAAGTAAAACAAAGGGCCTGTGGCATTTTGTTAATTATCTCCACGGCCATGTGATAATATATCTGAAGCACTGAGTCGGCAGTAGAAGACCTGTCTTCAACATGTTCAATCACACAGTAGAAAGACCCATTCTGAAAACAACAAAAAACAACAAACGATCCACTTCATGTAGTCTACTGAGGGTTTTAAAGAGAACAAACACCAATGAGAAAGTGAAAATGAGCAACAGAAGCTCAGTGACTACAAAACCTTTGAAAAAAAAAAAAAACAAAAACAAACGGGAAGCCTTAACAGATGCAGAATAACTCATCAGCAAAAGCAATACACAGATGTATGAGCACACTATTTGGATAAGGAAAGAACACAATTATAGACTGAAGTTGCTTTCAATGAACAGCACAAAAATCTCAAGACCCAGGTTTAATGCCATCACAGAAAACTAGTAGACCAAGCCAATAAAAACAATGCTTAAGTCTCACTCTCTCAAGAAATCTTTCTGAAGCATCTACATTTGATAGGCCTCTTGCAAGACCCACCCACCCGCTCTCTTCACCTAATCTCACTGCACTTGCAATGCTAATTCAAGAGCCAGACGCTCCAGGCAGGGCTGCAACAGCCAGTAAAGATGGAGGCTTGCTTTAAGAATATAAAATGCCAATGTCTGTACCCCACACCAAACTACTTTCATCAGAATCCCATGGTATGTGGCCAAGGCTAGTGGCGGTTTTTAAAGGCAGGTGATTTGAATGGCTGCCAGGATGGTGACGCAGTGCAGAGAATGCAGGAACACCCCGCGTGGACTTAATGCTACGTCACTGCTTCTGATCGTGGAGCTTTGGGAAAGCTCTTCCCTTAGTCTTCTGAGAACCCCAAGGAACTGCCTTCTGGACGTTCCTGAATTTACAACACCCCTCCTCTGCCCACTCACTGGGAGAATATTTTCTGGAACCCAGCAGAACAAGCAATGTGGTGGCATACACAGCTATTAAAATGCTCCTCTGGGAAGGGAGAGACCACCAAGTTTGAGTGGTTGGTGTTTGTTGCTGGTTCCCAGTGCATGCTGCCTGGATTCCAGTCCTGGTTGACCCAGCCCTCTGTTGGAACGGGGAGAAGTAATGAGATGGATCTGAGGGTGGTTTGTGACTAAAAGTGGGTCAGAGGCAATAAAGAGTAGTGGAGGAGAGGGATGCTCCAGAGTGGGCGGTCCCAGCTTTGATTCCTGGCTTCACCCTCTGATTCTAGGATTTGGACAAGTTTGCTAGATTTCTTTGAAACTCAGTTTCCACATCTACAAACAGGCTAATTCTCTGTCCAAGTTGCTGAAAGGATTAAGAAAAACTTTGTTTCTATTAAGTTCTCAATTCATAGTTGCTTTTAAGAGAAGGTATTTCAAAGCCGGACTGAAGGCTCTAGAACCAGACTGTCCTTCCCAAAGTGCGACTTCCCAGCTGTGTGACTTTGGGAAAGTTCTTTGAGTTCTCTGTGCCCCAGTCCCCTCATACACCCAGAGGGCACATGCCCTCAGGATTAAATGACCTAACACTGGGATTGTCTAACATCGCAGTTTGCTCAGGAAAGTTTCAGTTTATGCTTTTAGCTTCGGATGGGTCACTTAAGCATATAGCCATTATAGTTCATGTATAGATCACTTAGAAAAGTGCCTGCTGCAGAGTAGATACTGAATGTGCGTTAGCTGTTAACATTAACCCCCCCAATCGCAGTCATTTTTAATTTCCTAGTTAACCACACATGCTAAAAAGTGTCAATAAATAATACAATTAACCCAATCTATACAAAATATTAGCATTGCAGTATGCATTCAGTAATAAAAATTATCAGAGACACTTTTCTTTTTCATCCTGTCTTTGAAACCTGTGTGTTTTGCATTGATAGCACATCATTTTTTAAAAAAAGATTTATTTATTTATGCAAACAAGAAAGGGGTTACAAGCCAAACGTGCAGGAGGTGAGAGGATTCACCCCAGACAGAGTGGATCTACTGAAATACACTGCTGAGGGGCGTGCCTGCAGCAGGATCCCAGAGGTCTGCTGCACCAGGTGGGTCGGAACAAGACTGATTTGATGAATGCAGAACAGAAGGCTCACAAGTAGCAGTATTGTTCTCCTCTAAATACTCTACTGTACACCATTACTCTGAACCACAAAGAAAAACTGCATTGTAGAAAATGCCAGCATTAAGCCAAAAAAAGTTGGCCACTTCACATTTCTCTTAGAGCAAGATTTTATATGAGTCAGGAGAAAGGCCGAGAAGAGAACCACGCACCTCGCCTTACACTGGGTATTCACCACTTCTCTACGGAATCTCTGATGTAAGGGATGTATCTGTGTTGGGGGGCAGAGGAGGAGAGGGAGGCGTGGGCAGGACAGATAAAGTCTGCCTGTAGATAACAAGGTAGAGCCAATGTCAGGGTGAATTTCAATTCCGCGGGAACGGGCTTCAATCGATTTAGACTGGGTCCCACCAGGAAAGGCTCATACCACTTATTTATTCTCGAAAGTTTCCTGCCCTGCGCAGAGGATACAGTTAACTCGGAGAAGGGAGGGGCTTTGGTGGATCAGGACTTTCTAAGCCTTAGCTGGTTAGCGCCCCCAGGAAGGCTTTGAGGTCCTCGGAGAGAAAGGAGGTGTATCAAATGCCAGTCTGACCCCGCCGGGGAAGGGAGAGAAGCTGACGGGTACCGCGGAATGAGGCCATCTGGCTCTGCGTCCAGACAGCACTCTTGAGGGCAGTGTCCCGACAAGATTCAGTGCCGGCTGTCGATGTCTCCTTTCTCACTCCAGAGCAGAGCACCACTTAACGCCGGAGTTTTCGCCGGACTCCTGGTGACGGTTGCAAAACAGTCTTTGCAGCCAACTTGTCCAGAGTGTCTGAGTACATTTTAGCTTACTTTCTGTTCAGCGCTCTGGGAAAACACAACCGATCTGACATGGGCTAGAAGGCGCTTAAAACACCCCCACGCCCGCACGACTTTGGAAGAGAACCAGAAACGAATCCTGTTTCGGATCTCGTCGGTCTTCCACACAGGGGTCAGGGCACCGGCTTTCCCACCGACCTCAGGTGAAGGTGATGGAACAGACCCACGGGGAAGGGCGCTTGGGTCAGTGGGTTAGAAGCCACCCAGCCCGAGGGCGCGCGGGCCCGGGGGTGGGCGGCTGCTGGGCGGGGCCGGGCGCACCTCCCGCAGGTCCCAGCCCGAGCGCGGGACCCGGTCACCTGACTCGCGGAATTCGGGGCCGCGCGGGTGGAAGGGGAGGAGAATGGTAGCACCTCCCTTCCCGCTCCCGCGGGATCCAGGTCGGCCGGGGCCGGCGCCGG